ATATATATTGCTTTTTTCAAAGGCATGCAGAAAATAAACAATACCTACTACCTTTCTGAGATCCTGAAAGAACCTGGCATAATAACTGCATCCGGGGTAATTGGAAGAATATACAAGCACGTGTCAGGTATATCGAAATCGTTTCCCTAGTATTCTATGGAACTCATTTTTTTGTTGCTGAAGATTTTCACCAAAATAGCTTTCTATTAGCTTTCTCGATTTCTATTAGCTACATCGCTGGAGCAACTCATGCAACCATTTGAATGTAACCGAGGTAACAGCTGGAAAGTGTTTCAAAGAAGCACGATACCAACCAGAAAGCACTACCAGAGGTCGCCAAGAATTGGAGATGTGCTCATTGAAGGGAGCTTGGGAACATCATTTTACACGTACGTCACTTTGAACCAGCATTCAAAGACAATTGCAGTTATTTCCATCGGCCGCTTTCGAATTACTAAGAAAAACTTTGTGTAAAAGCTGCAATTGCTGCTGAAATTAAACGCTTGGAGGTATTTGCCCTCACTTAATTTCAGTAGTCGTAGAGACGATTGGCAACTAAGCGGAGACCACGGGTACGACTACTTACAATCTCCAATGCATGCCATATTTTTTGCCATGGGACCATCTATAAAGAAGCAAGTGGTATTACCACCTACTCAAAGTATCGAGTATCTGAATTTATTCATTGGTAAGCAATTATGAGTTCACGCCGAGCTTTAAGCGTAGTCATACTACTGTAACTTTATGCTTCATCTCCTCTGATATCTCTTGAATTGCTCTCTAAAGTTCGTCCTTGAAACTCGCATACCTCAATTGAACCGTTCGCTCTGTTACAAGCAAACAACATGTGTTCTCTCAGCTTTTACTGGTGAATTGATGAAATCCAGCTTTATATAGCTTAGCATTAATTTGATTATTATACATATAAACCACTGTTTGCTTCCCCTAATCAAATGTATAAATAAAAAGATGTATGAAGCTTTTCATCAATGCACCTGGGGTGGTGCTAATTAGTCGAAACGGAAATGGAGGGCTAGTGAGGGCTTAATGCGAGTTAATGACAACTGTTGAGTGCGAGTTTGGAGCAAATTACTACCACGCTCAGCCTTAAAGCATCGCTCACATCTTTTCAGTAATCAAATCCCTAAATCTGTAACCTTTGCGAAAAAAAGTAGGGGAGTATATAAGTAGCATGTGTTTTTGATCAGCTTTTTTCAGAAGAAAATGCCACGTTTTTCGCAGACAATCTTTGTAAAAACAGAAACTTACCCAGGAAATGCTCCTATGAGCTCATGTCTTAGGCTACATATATCTACTATTATCTAGATTTTGCTCGACATGTGCAGCAGATTGCCAAACTTGATGAATCAATGTTTCTCTGCATAATGCTGTCGTGTGTAATGGATAATTTTTATAATTGAGATTCAACTTGACTCTACTAGATCATTAAGGGAATCCGCGAATCTGACTTTTCCATTGTACATCTTATAATTCTGCAGAAAGGTCGTAGTGTTTTGTGCGTTTTTGTAATTAGCATGACGAACTATTTTGGAATAACGTTTAAGAGAAGTTCGAGGTTTTCTTCCTAAAAAATGAAAGTGTAGGATTAGCTTTCATTGTTTTCCATTTCAAATTCCCAATCACTTTTAGAAACATTTGAACGAAAAGGCTAGATAAACCAAGTGTAATCACTTTCAGAGGTAGCATTCTCATTCATTGTAAACGTTTTATAGATTCTAAACGTTATCTATATGCCGCCAAAAATCTATAATTCAGGATATTATTTTTAAAAAACGGCACGAGTATTCGATAACCAATTATATATGATATCTGTGGAGGTTAACTGTACAATTAAAACATGAAAATTTTTGAGTCTGTTTAGATCTTCTTGGCTTACCGCATGATGTACCTAACAATGGAACAATAGGTATCATGGACGAGATTCTTGTCAACCCACCTTTTAGGACACCCTACTTCCATTTTCCTTTAAAGTAAGTTGTATGAAGTCCAATCTTCTCCTTCCTAAACTGGAATGCATTTAGCGAGTGTCCTGTGTTGGGTCCATCTGCTGCCGTTGGATGCAGTAAAAGTTACTGTTCTTCTGAGCAGATGGTAAGAGGCACATTGACTTCAGAATTTTTTTCGAAAAATGGGAACTTATAGACTCGCCTTAATGCGAAATTAGCCTGCAACGCGCCTCTAGCATCTCCAGTTGAAATATCGTCAACCATCCCTAGATGTTTTCAAAACTACTGTGAAAAATACGTCATCACTGAAAGCGCTAAAGGTTTTCATGGCATGATTTCATTACCAAGTCCAGGTGAAAAATAACTAACCAGGTCCTACTGCCGCAGTCCTCGAACGAATTGTAAGGAAAGAACAAAGTTTTTCTTCTAAATGCGAATTCGTGAGTTTGAAGTACGGTAGCCCTTGCGAAGGAAAGTCGAATGCCACGGGATATGTTTCAAAAAGTCTCTCTGCTGACTCTCTATCAGGTTTGGAAGAATTTCTATATTCAAGATTTCGCCTGCTGCGCCAATGAAATGGACTCTCATACTACTTGCTATCATAATATTATTATTTTGAGAATTCACATTCAGAGCTGGCGAACATACAGTCTATTATAATGACTTGGGAAATCGAATTCAATTCGGGTAATGGTTTTCAATGGTTTGTACATAAAACAGCCACTTCGTGTCTCAGATATTTTGGAGCCTCTAAACGAGTATACTAAATCTACCGTGCAGAGACTTGAGCAACTTGTGGTAATTACTGGAACCGCATTTGACTCCAATCTCGATGGCATTGCTGACACGGTTAAAATGAGGTTATTTTGAAAGTACTTTAAAAATAAATAGCAACACTACAAGGAAAACTTCTACACTAGTCCTTTGCCGTCTTCAGCAAAATACAGGATCACCTTCACTATTCATACCCTCATTCACCACTCAAACGCTTACACAGTCTTATTGGTCTTCAGAAAAAGTTCGTCTCTTCTCTGCTTTCTTCTGCTTTCTCGCCGTTTGGAGCGATTACCAAGCTAGTTTTTGGGTAATTTTCTTTGCCTCCATAAGTATAAGGAGAATCCGCAAGGTGTTTCGCCTAAGTAACATATATATATTATAAGCTTGACATTATGTTCTAAACTTCAAGATGCGTCGAGGCATCGATAACACCATATACTAGGTTATGTACAACTTATATGCGCAAGTGTATAGGCATATCCTAACAGAAACTGAAAAAAGTAGCTGTCTGAACATCATTAAATGCATACATCAACAAACAATAAACTCAATCTGCAAATGAACACTCCACACCATCGTAAATTAGACCACGCTTCTTTCAACACAAATTTCGGATAGACAACAGCACTACCCAAACCTCGGCGGCAGTTCTCCGGAAGGCAAGCTGGAATTCGTTTTTGTGGAAAAAGCAGAGAGCGGAGTCCAATCTTAATTGAAACCGCTTTTTCCACAACAAGAATGTTCAAGCCCCATACCTACACACTTGTCAGAAGCCTGCTTCAGCAAAGTTCCAGTGTTCGTTCAAATGCGGGCGTTTATGCGGGAAATTTGAAATTTTGAGGAGTTCAGATAAACTCGTTTTTCTAAGCGAATAAGCAATGAAAAGTGGTCAAAATTGGCGTAAAGATGCACAATGAAGAATAGAAGAAGTGTTTGAAAAATCTTTGAAATATTATGA